TACCCAATTTTTTTTTGCATAATTTTCTTGCAGTCTAAAAATCAAAAAGAACAAATAAATATATCTAGGAGTAAATTTATTCAATCAAAATAGATTGTGAAAAGAGATTCGAATCATGAAGAGATGCACAATATTTCATACATACAATTCGAATATTTGTCTGTATGCAAATATCGTTGTTATTACACAATCTTGCTTTTAAGCAGTAAATTATATTAAAGTTAAAAATAATTTTCTGTTTATTAAAACTAAAAATGAAAGACATATCTATTAATAAGTGTTTCGAATAATTTGTTAAATGTTGAGACAATTTTAAGATGAATTTTTTGTTTGTTCATGTTTCCCACGCGACCATCCACATTTTTTCAGATGTTTCTCACCTGTATTTATCGCTTTCGGTTCTATATTGGTGCCCATTGAATCATTCCATCAATTAAGATATCCAAAGACACTGATTACACCTAAAATTTCGACAATTTCACCATCATTCCAATGTTGACGTAGATTTTCAATAATGGAACTGTTTACAGCATTGGGTACTGTCGAGGCAGCTACAGCGAAATCAAGAGCTGCTCGTTCAGCAGCATTGAAAGCAGAATGAGTAGAATACTCGCCAATGTGTGCCAATTTTTCTGAAGCAGCTCCATAACGTTCCGCTGCTAAGATCGTATGTGATTGATAATATTGACAGTCTCCTTTCAAACTAGAAACATAACCAATAAGAAATTTTAAAGCCGTAGTTACGCGACCATACCAAAATTTTTCAAAATATGAAGAATGACTTATATCAATATATGTTAACGATCTATAAATAATTATTCTCTTTGATGAATTTCATTCTATTTTACCTTTTAATCAACGAATGTCTACTGAATAGAAAGAATAAGATATACCAATGAAACACACATATCAAGCAAACTATTGCACAGAAGAAAAAAAACTTTCGAAATGCTATTTCTCTCTTATCATTCATATTAATCTTAGATTTCTATCGTAACAGGTTTGCTCGATAATCATCTATTTAATGAAAGAATGTCTTATTCATGTGTTGTAAGGATAACCTTCACCTTTCGTTTTATAAAAAAATCAAACTAAATAGAAGAACCGTTTTATTTTTACACTTTCGTTTTTTGTTCTGAAAGGTTTGAAAAACAGCAGTAATTTAAAAGTTAAATTTCAACGATTTTTGTTTATAAAAAGTGTTTGTCGAAGTATTTTTGATCTCAAAAATTTTATAATTCGCTTAAATTTTTGCTTATTTATGGTAACGACAATTTATAGATTTTTGCCAATAGTTCATTTCAACCGTGATCAACTTTGAAAGCCTTGTCAAATGATATTTGATTCGGAAACTCTTTCTTTTTTTAGATTCAATGAAATCTAAGAACAACTTTGGATAGAGTAGTCATAAGTGAGAAAATTTTTTATAAACAATTGATTACACAAGGGTTTCTCGATACTATGAAATGTCATGTTTGTAACTACAAGTCAGTTCATCGATATTCAAATATTTTATTGAATTTCATGTACGTATGTCTTTTCTTAGTTAGATTTAATCAATATATCTTTGAATAGATGCATTTATTTGATATCGACATAATTATACGTAAATGATAACAATCATGTTTTCTTTTTCTTGTTTTTCTCAAAACATTTTAATTTAAATTGGTTATTTAGGTCATGACTTCAGTGTTATTATTTATTATGACAGAAGTCCGCTCTAGAAAAGGATAGTCATGAAATGAAGTAAAACTAACCATATTAAGTAATTACCAATACAAATGAAAACTTTTCAAATATAATTTGAAGAAAAAGCACTTTTGATATCTAATTTTTTTTCCAATAGTGATTTTTCATTATCTTTTCTTGGTTGCTTCTACACGATCTACATAACTCCTTATCTACACTCAGTGGTTTGTTTCCAGAGATCAAACAGATTAATGTATGACCAAAGTAATTAGTGAATGGAGTGCGCGTGCCTGTAGAAAAACTATGTATTCATTTAAAAATATGATTCTTCTCCAGATCGTCGACAGACGTATCCACGCGTTCTGTTAATATGTCTCAACGAATAAAAATAACAATATTCACAAACAGAGACTGACCGAATAAGTCTCACTTTATCGAATTTATAATCAATATTTAGGCAATTATCACCACAAATGAAACTAACAATGGATATTCACTCAGTACTGATTTCACTGAT